ATGAAAATAAATTATAATATGCAGTTTACATGTAAATAAATGGCTGTTCATATCAATGAAATCTCACAAATTTAATTTAATTGTCAGTTAGACAATTTGTGTACCTAATAATACTTGTAATATAAAATTATTTAACTACCATTAATAAACTCTTAACAAATAAAATATCCACAACTAATTATAATATAAAATACACTATACAATTGTGTACTTATATTGCATTGAATAATTACACAATTTGTGTGCTTAATTAAATATTCAATAATAACAAATATATTGTTTCATTCTGTGGCACTACGAAGTGACGGTATACATATTATACATGTAATTGTCGTATACCAGACAAATATGTTTAATACGTAGGAATGAATTATGGTTCAATAACTTGCAAAAAATACCAACTATAGATACACAAACGTATATATATAGTTGTATGATATATATAATAAGGAAAAGCAATCGGGAATTTGTAAAATTAGTTGAAAAAATCGTAAAAAAAGATGCAAAAAGTCCGGGCGACCATGCTTTTCAATGGGCCGCCATCAATTCGTCGCAGAAGTCGCCGCTGCCGGTTTCGAACCTATTTTGCCGGGTACCGAGTAAGGGTCGGGTAAAAATTTAGGTATTACGCCGGGCGGTGTTTTCGAATTGCGGACAAAGTGACAAAAACCATGTGAGTTGCGGACGAAATCTAAAAAGGTAACATACGAATTGCTGACACAAATATAAGATACGAATTGCGGACAAATATCCAATTTTTATTTTTGATATTAACGATTGTGGACGTTGTTAAATTACTGTTCGATATTAACGATATATATATATATATATTATTTATCAGCATATATAATTGTGCAGGCGCTTTTGAAACGACTGTCAAAAAATGTGTTTAATCAGTTTATCGACAACCTTACTCGCTTGCTTATCTGTCGTAGTGTCGTCTTTCTGTTCGTTTATTTCCAATTTTTTTGTATAAAAATGTCTAGTGAAAAATTAAAGAGTTACGTGTGGTTGACGTTTTTAAGTTCCGTTTTCATCGCATAATGAAAAATGAAATTCAACGGCGGGTGTGTACACATAAAAGGTGTAATGCATTTTTAAATTTGATATACATGGTGTTGAAATAGACAATAATCTTGAACATAATAATCACGCGGCCGATGAGAAACGATCACTTGTGCGGCAGAAATTAAGTAACAGTGTCAAACGTAAAGCGGTAGAGCAGCTATGTGAACGTCCCAGCAAAATTATACATTCTGAGATTACACCAGATGATTTAAATATATTAGACTCAAAGGATATAAATTTAATCCGAAAAAATATTCACACTGCTCGTATGAGTAAGTATCCAATATTACCTAAAACACTTTTGGAATTTTAAGCGATGGTTCCCGACGTAGTAGATAAATTACCCACCAATGGAGGTGAAAATGGATTGTTGACATTGACAATAATAAAGGTGTTGTGTGCTTCTCTACAATAAAAAATTTAAATTTTTTTAAAAAGTGTGATGCTGTTTTGATGGATGGTACTTTTTCAAGCTGTTTATCTCTGTTTAATCAATTGTTCGTGGTTCATGGCGTAAAAAATAATATTTACGTACCATTATTTTTTTGTTTATTGATGGGAAAATCAGTTACTGATTATTGTACAGCACTCGAGATTTTGAAACAGCGTTCACCACTACTACCAACCACTTTTCATATTGAATTTGAACAATCTATCCACTCAGCTGTTCGTCTAGTATGGCCAATGAGCAAAATAAAAGGGTATCGGTTCCGTCTCGGACAAGCTTGGTACCGAAAAATAAAGTCACTAGGTCTAGCTAAAGTATAAAGTACTGAAGATGAAAAGGGGAACTTTTTAAAAACATTGTATAAAGAATATCGTAATGGTTATTTTTGTACTAGAGATAGTTCCTTATGGACCACACCAATTGGTACAAAAAATTGAATGTCGCAACCATATATTAAGAAATTATAGTACAAAATTATCTGCATTAACAAAAAATACAAAATACCCACCATACTTAAGACAGCTAATTACAAAAAAAATTACTACATTCTGTGTAGCTATTCGAAAGGCAATTCAATTTAGAAAAAATTTAAATACTAACAATATTGCTAAAATAAAGGGTAATAAAACATTTAAATTATTTAAATTAAATAATGAGCAATTTTTTTTTATATAAAAAGGTAATCAATTAATTTTAATTATTTGTTTTTACAATATATTTTAGGACTTCAACAAGACATTTCTAATAGCCCTTATCATATTTTTGGACAGCATTCACAATATGATTTTTATTTTTGTAAAAAACCAACTGATTGTGAAAATCATGTTCCAGCTATGGAAATATGTGGACTTATGAGCGATGTTAATTCAGTTTTAAGAAGAGTGGTTGAAAATGCTTCAAATCTTATATATGATGTTACAAACAACGCTTGTGAGCAATTTAACAGCGTTATAAATAAGTATATTTCAGGGAAACGAATAAACTTTTCTTTAAAGCAATCTTACAATACAAGAGTTCAAGCAGCAATTATTTCCTACAATACTAGTGGTAATTTTCTTAGAGCGGTCCATAAAAAATTGATGCACAAAAGCCCCGGTATAAAACAAACTTAAATTCATACACTATTCGTGTACTTTTATAATAACTATAACTTTAGGTATGTGTTTTTTTAGGAATGGTCGGTAAAAAATTTTTGATATCCAAAAAGTACAAACACGAAAACTTAAAAAAAAGACGTCTTTTTAATTCTAAAAAATCAAAGAAAATAAAATACACAGGACCAGATGAATTTTATGGCCTTGCAGAACCGTTACCAATAGATGAGAGATGTTCAATAGAAGAATTAGAATTTAAAAAAAAAAATTTTATTCAAACAATTACTCTCTCGAAGTATCAACGGGATGCTTTGGAAATAGACACTCGAGAACAGAGTTCTAGTTCTAGGTGGTTTATGGAAAGGCGTAATCGTATAACAGCTTCTGACTTTGGAAAAATATGCAAGATGCGACCAACTACGTCGTGTAAAAATATCGTAGCTAACAAATTATACAGTACATCTTCTAGTACGAACGAGCCAATAGCATGCAAATACGGTAAAGATATGGAACCAGTTGCCCTGGAATATTTTGAAAACAATATGGGGACAAAGATTCAAAAATGTGGTTTAATCATTGATGAAGATTACCCGTTCTTCGGAGCATCGCCAGGTGAGTTCAACTTAACTACGAGTTTTTTCTGAAATTAAGACATATATACAAGATTTTGCATAATATTTTAAAATATTTTAGATTCTGAACTGAGTGATGTGTATATTGATTTTAAAATTATGTGTGTTTTTTTTTTGTGTCTGAGGACAAAATTTGGATCAGAATTAGTGCTTCAACCTCAACAATTAGGGGTGGTTTCGGGTAGCAAAATGAATGTATATTATAGTTTGGGTCCACCCCACCCCTACTGTACACCAGAGCTAGTTCCCAGTTTTTATCATTATATTCCTATAAAAAAAAAAAATTAATCCTCTATCCTTTATGGCATTTTAATTTTAGATGGGCTTATTGGGAATGATAGCATAATTGAAGTGAAATGTCCGTATTCGGCCAAAGACTATCCTACAGTTGAAGAGGCTATCAAAGATAAAAAGGTAATACATAAAGAAATATAGAATATATTTTTATATATTAGTTACTACAGCAATTTATTTTAAAATTATACTTTTTTTATACTTATGATTTCTTATAACTACATAGGTGTAATTTGGGGGGGGG